TGTTCCTAAATACCAGTTTTAAAAGGCTGCTTTTACTTGCCTTGCACATTTAAACCTGACTTAACTTGATATTTGTTTGCACTTAAAGGGAATTCCCTATTGTTTACAATTGTTCTGGTTTCTTCTAAACTTGAATATTGCACAGAAGAATCAACAGCATATCGATGTTCCTGACTACAACTTGCACTTTAAAAGCACTATGTGATCAGCGTTTTATGTTGTAATGATCCATAAATACAACAACAAATTGCCTGTTGACTGGCAAAAGCAGAAAAAATGTCAGTATTTTTTTGCTATTATCACCACAAACACTTTCATGCGCTATTAAACAGTACCGTGAGCTTTTCCACAATATCGCAATAAATATCGTACCGTGAGGTCAATATCAAAATTGTATCGTACCGTGAGATTTTTATATCATTACATCCCTATAAAAGATCATCCTCTATACCTTTTAAAGTATGGAAGAAGTTGAAACGGCAGAACCTATTTCTGAATTTGGCAGAAGTTTGAAAACAATTCATTTAATGTGGCAATAAAAAAGACAAAATAACAAGTGATATATGTAAAGTATCTATAGTTAAAGACACAAAACTCTTCAGAAAAAGCTCAATGTTTTGATATTGGTCTTGTTGAAATTAAGGTGTGCATGCAGAAGTATATATGATTTTTTTTTAAAAGCACAGATGAAGATATTCAGTCAGACTTTACTAGGGCTACAGCTAACAATTAATTAGCAAATCGATTAATGTTTATTTATTTATTTTTATTTACGTGTTTATTTGAACAGGGACAGTGCACATTAATAAACATTTCTGTAAATGAGCCAGTGTTAGCTAAGTAGCTAATTTTCAACTGTAGTCATTGGGCAAGGTTTAAAATGCCAACATAATAAAACAACAACATTAAAAATTAGTGCAAACAATAAAATACATAGTTAGTAATCTACATAAAAGTTGGACATTGATCTGTAAAAAACAATGTCCGTTATTTTTTTGATTAATAATCGGATAAAAAAAGCTTCCTTAAAGAAGACTCTTTGCAATATTAAACCAGATAAAACAAAAAGTTTTCCACTTCAGGAGTTCTGGATAGAGCATATTGACAGGAGAAAAGGTTTTTAGTTCTTAGATGCAAAATGTTTACAGATTTATTTTACAATTCTGGTATAATTGCTGCTCAGTATGGGTCGCTCTCTCAGCTAAAGGAACGTTCTGGAGTCCCTACACTCCAGTCCACGATTAGTCAATTACTAAATTAGTTGACGATTGTTTCAATACTCGATCTGATTAATTGTTTCAGCGTTAGACTTTACCTTTTCACAAACCAGTTGATTGCATCGACTCATTGTCTTGAACTTAAACCTCTAGCAGAACCAGACTTGGTGAGAGCGGCCGTCTGCTGAGGCCGACTGGGATTCAAGGAGACAGAAGGAACAATGAGATCTCTGATATCAGATGGAGCTTGGCCATTTAAGGCTTTATATGTGAGAAGGAGGATTTTAAATTCTATTCTGGATTTAACAGGAAGCCAATG